TAAAAACCAACTGAGATAGAGAAGGCGACATTGCCACATCTCAAATTTGCGCCTATCTACTTAGTTTGATTTGCAGAAAAGGTGACTTTAAAACCTTCACCGGATATCAATAAATCTCAATTTCTTAATTAAATTAATAGTTTATTTTTAAAGAAGCATGCGTAATAATATGGTTATTAACCAGAGGATATATGCGTTACTATTAAAGGACATGTTTACTGTTTAATGTGCTGAAACGTCTAGAACTATTGGCAACGTCGCTGCTAGTCTTCCAGAATGAAAGGAGCCGTCCGTCCCACCAGCCCTCGCGACGGCCCTTGGTCCGTTATAGCGTACTACGTTTAGCTTACGGTGTGTTTGAAGTCGGAATCAAGTCCGAAGTGAACTTTTCAGTGTTTTTCAGTAGTTTTTGCTTTTGTTTAACGTACTTTTGAATCTGCGAATTTTCAATATGGTACGACAGTATCAAATGTGTGGAAAAATAAGCTCAAATTACCTGAATTTGTCTTTTCACAGGTAGGTATTGTTTCCGCCGCGCCGTAATCGCCGTACATAGGCGTCCCACAGGGGAGCCTCTCACAATTAAAATTATTTCTAATTATATTTGTTGAATTTTGAGCTATTAAAACAAGAACGTAGTAGCCAGTAATTGAATTATAATTCGTCTCAATTACTACTTAACTGCTGTAGATCATAACAAATTTGAATATAAACGTTGCATTTGAAACTTTATTATAAGCCAGAAAGTGACATTTTTTTTCTTAAAATTGCGTCATATTTTGGTCATTATATACGATATTCTAAAGGAATTTTGCTCAACAAATAAACAAAGGTGTTTACCCGCCCGTTTTCACATTTTATTGCATTATTATATCTGCCCCTTCGGCCTCGTTTAAACAATTTTTTACCACCGTACAAATACCTCTTCCTAGAGTTATTTGTACGGTGTGTTTACCTTTTTTTAGAATGGGACGAACTGTAAATAATTCTTAGACTACTAGTTTTATACATACCTATATACAGAGTGACCCAGGCCTCCAAAAAAGCTTTTTACCTATTACGTTTTTGTTTTGTAATTTTTATTTCAATTTTTTACATAAGATGGGGGCCATTGTAACGCACATTTTCAAAATATTTTTGTCAACATACAGGGTGATTCTCGGGGTGATTCAAACCGCTATACATATGCTTAATAGAGTTCATGAAGATTGGGACATTTAACTAAAATTTGATTGTCTGATGAAGCTACCTTTAAAAGTAATGGATTTGTAAATAAACGTAATATTCATTATTATGCGACAGAAATCCCATACTGTAGCACACAGATTTGAGACTTTTAATGATAAATGCCTTCTATTGAGAGATTAAAAGGCAATTGCCTCGTCTCAGAGCCATCATAATACAAGAAGAAGACCGAAAGTCAAATCTTGTCTTATATTTTCAAAAAATACAATTTTCTCATTAAATATTGATTTTAGGTATAGGAAGTTATTAATAATACAAGATTAAACAACTATTACACAGTACTTTACAGGAAGCTATCGATTGAGAACTAACTAAATCGTTACTAATTACTAATTTTAAAAAGTTCTTTTTAAGATCAAAAAAGGTAAAACTAAAACCTAAATTATCATTTGAGATTAAACGGGAAGTTCTAAATAATGTTGCCTATTCTAAACAAGAAAAATTTATTTATAAGTTTTATAACATCTCTAATTAAATTTGGACGAAAATAATATTTCTGTTTGCTGTAGGTAATTTTCTCAGGGAAAATACGTAAATAAAAATGACTTTTAAGTAAAAAAGTCAAAAGGACAAGTTATTCCAAAAAAGGACTGTCCTTTTCAAAAAAGGACAGGTGGCAACCCTAGATATTTCTGGAATGGAAATTTAATGGCAAATCTACAACTTTAGTTTGAAAATATGTTCCGGCCACCTACGTTTACAAAAATGTCTAAAATGTGCTTTATCATTGCCTCCATATTCTGAAAAAAAAAATGAAAGAAAAGTCACCAACCACAAACCTAATATAGAACTGTTTCGGAAGCCAGAGTCACCCTGTAAATATTCAAAAGTAACTGAAAGTTTATATAGAATTAACTGAAAGTTTAAATTGAAAATCGACGTTGGAGCGATTTTCGAAAACTACCTACTAACGTTTCAACATAAGTATATGTGGGATATTAATTATATTATTATATTAGACCTTATAACAAAACTCATCTGACGAAAAAGTGTTAATGTAGTATATTAATATGGAGTAAACATTTTATTAATTACTTTACTTTTACTTTACTAATTAAATTCGTTCCAAAAAACGATACGCCACTGGCCATTAGAACAATCCAATTGCGCCTAGTTGCCGGGGTCGGAAATTTTAGACTTCTCTGTCTCTTCCGTCCTTGTCTGACACATTGGAATGTTTGATACACTACTAACGAGTATTTATGAATGAGATGTTCGGTCTATATTTATAATGTCTTTGGTCGGGCATCTGTAACTCCTGCTAATAAAAAGCTAATAAAAAGCTTGAGAATTTTGTTTAAGTGTAAACCTAAATTATGTACTAGGATGTATTTCAGGAAAATATTTTAACTTCTATAGGGTGGCTCAAAAAAGTGTGAGTGGATCGGGATGATTTTTTTTAAATGGAACACCCTGTATATTATTGCATTTTTGACTTCCTTTCACATCACTTTACATAATCCTAAGATATGAGTAAATCTATTTCGATAGTTTCAGAGATATTAAAAAATAAATCAGAAATATATATTTTTCAACTCTTCTTAGAAAAAAATATTAAAAATACAAGAACTGTTCTGAAATCAAAACTATATTAGATATTTACTTTAGATAGTCTGTTCTTACTTTGCTATAAATATGGTAATCGTAAATCATACAGGATGTTCAATATTTTACGTCAAACTTTCTAAAATATAAAATAATTTTTCTTGGTTTTTTTAAATGGAACACCCTGTATATTATTTTTTCAATAAATGGAGAATTAAAAAATGAACAATTTTTGTATTTAGTGTATTTCAAAATTTTTAACGGTTTCGCAGATATTCCCGGTTTTGTATTTCATATGGCATTTTCCACAGTAAATTTTCATCAAAGCCGCCCAATGATTTTTCTCTCGTATTTTACCATTCAACGCGCCATATGAAATAATACACGTATCCGGAAAACTATTAAAAATTTTGAAATACTTTAAATACAAAAAATGTTCATTTTTTAATTATCCATCTAATAAAAAAATAATATACAGGGTGTTTCATTTAATAAAACGAAGAAAAATTATTTTATATTTTTGAAAGTTTGGCGTAAAATATTGAACATCCTGTATGATTTACGATTACCATATTTATAGCAAAGTAAGAACAGACTATCTAAAGTAAATATCTAATATAGTTTTGATTTCAGAACAGTTCTTGTATTTTTAATATTTTTTTCTAAGAAGAGTTGAAAAATATATATTTCTGATTTATTTTTTAATATCTCTGAAACTATCGAAATAGATTTACTCATATCTTAGGATTATGTAAAGTTATCTAAAAGGAAGCCAAAAATGCAATAATATACCTACAGGGTGTTTCATTTAAAAAAAATCATCCAGATCCACTCACACTTTTTTGAGCCACCCTATAGAAGTTAAAATATTTTCCGGAAATACATCCTGGTACATACTTTAGGTTTGCACTTAAACAAAATTCTCAAGTTTTTTATTCTAGGAGCTACAGATGCCCGACGCATTATTGCCGGACCCTATATAGTAAGTTAAGTACTAACAATTTCATATATCGGGTGCGTCTCAAAAGTAACTCACCCCTATAACTTTTTAATTTTTTGAAACAGAAAAACGAGATTAATGAGCCACCCCCATTCCATTTGAAAAAATTGAAATATTATTAAAAATACGATTTGGGCATCTTTTAACCGGTCAGGGCAAGACAGTAAAAACATTAGACTATCAAACCTATTTTTCCAAGGCGCCTTGATTAAAAATTAGTGTTTTTAACATAACCATGGCACTCTCTAGATTGAAATTTAAAATATGCGATTTTTTTAAAGGGAAAATGTCAAAAGTTGACATAAATATTATACCTAATAAATAAAAATTAACAAGGCGAGTCTTAAATAAGTGCAAATATTTTTACGGGTGGTATATTCCGACCCCAGAAACACGTATACGGGGAAAAAACTATATTTTTTTATTTTTCAAAAAAAAATGATTTTTATTAATTTTTAGTTAAAAATATAATATCTCGATAATATGGCATCCTCGATAGTAGATTTAGAGGAAAAACGAGTGGTTCTCAAAATTTAAGCAAAAAATCATTTTTTTTTGTTTGTTTCATTTATCGAGATCTGCCAGCCCTGAAATTATTTTCACTTAAAACTGTCACCCTGTATATTCCAATAATATAATAAATAATAATCCATATAGAATATTGTATAAATTTAAAAAAAACTCATTGTATAATTAAATTTATGTTGTTACTTATAAGTATTAATTGCAAAACATTTAAAAATTAAAAAAAAATACAATTTTTTAATTTTCATTTTTCATTTATACCTATTATTTTGACTATAATAAATTTAATAACAAAATATTCGTAATATAGAAAATATTTATGTTATTCATCGTAAAAAAATATTACCAAAAATTTAAAACAAGAAAAAAGAATAGATTATTTATATTTTCATTTTCCGCCTAAGTTTCTAATACATTTTTATCTATTTATCATTACACTATCTTATCAAAAACCTAACAATAATTATTAACAAACCTGCTTATTTATTGACATCAAAAAAAATTAATCATCATTTACCAAGAATAGGTATATAATTAAATTAATTATTTTGAATTAAAAGAAAAACATAAATTAACACAATAAGCGCGCTTATACGGTACTACAAAAAGTTAGGTTAAGTCCGGCCACGGAAAACAATGAACACCGACTTAACAGGTAGGTACGACTTGTTTACGTATAACTCACCTGTAAAAGTAACAGCTAACAAACTGACCAAAACGACTCGCAACCAAACCATATTTTCGTCCAACATCACACAAATAATTTAGTTCAGAGTCCCAGCGCAAATTATCCTTCGAAAAATAGCGGAAAAAGACGGGGAAAAAGTTTGAAAAGTTCACGCAAAAGCTCGCACCGCGGACATTTTACACACCCAATGTTTGTATCGTGCCGACGAACGGTAAGCGACTGAGCGACGCTCGCGAATGCCGCAGGAGCGCGCCGCTTGGGTGGAGAAACGACCCGCTTTCGCGATGTAGGTGGGTTTTTGGGAGTCGATGCATGGCGCAAGTGGTTGGCGCTCAGCTTTTTGGTCTTTTTGCAAGGGATAAAGGGATAAGATAAAGGATTGGTATGTTTTTACATACAGGAGGAGATCCTAAGGAGATTTCTCAGGTTAAATAAGATTTATTTTTGTGTATTTTTGCATTTTTTCGGGTTAAAAAGTGCGACATATTTTAATGCTAAAAAAAGTGTCGACAGATTCCAGTGTATATGGGTTATCACTGGAATAGGTTAAAAAAACTGGGCGCCACTGACTTTTTTCTCTTTTAGTACAGTTCTGCCACAGGTTCTGGGTCCAAATTCTGTAAATTAGAAAACGCTTTTCGACGGTCAGTGTATATGACGTTCATTTTCGCTTAGCGCGCACTTAACTACCGATTTGGGTACTCTCACCTGACCCGCTTGGCGTCTTTACTGATTGCGCTAAGCGCTTTGAAAACGGTTGCCTTAAAGGATCGTTTTGCTAATCGAACTGTCAGTGAAAATCGAAAAAAATGTGATTTTGTGCGTTATCTTGCTCTTTAATGAAAATCACTACTTCTTCTATAAACTCCTCAATAAGTAATTGATAGTTTACAACTTGGCAGCTATAGATATTGTTCAAAACATCGAAAATGCTGAGGAGCGTTTTCACCATTTCCCTTCCCTCGTATAATAAGAATAATGACATATCCATAGAAAAATAGGTTGACATAACTCAACAATAGGTTATGAAATTCACGTAATATTGACATTTTTCATTGTTTTATTCACATTTGACTATTAGATACCTGCGAAATTGCGATGCTGTCAATATGTGCTCATCGCGTATCCAGAAAACGATTCGCAAAATCGCAAAAGAATACCAAAATCGACTGCTTGGCGTTCCGCTAATCGCATACTTTCGCTCACCGCTGTGAAATTGTAACGTTTTTATGTCAAAGTTACAGAATACGGGCCCTGGGTCCGAATTCTGTAAATTAGAAAACGCTTAGCGCTTTTAGACGCTCAGTGTATATATGACGTTAATTTTCGCTTAGCGCGCACTTAACTATCGATTTGGGTATTCTCATCTGACGCGCTTGGCGTCTTTACTAATTGCGCTAAGCGCTTTGAAAACGGTTGCCTTAAAGGATCGTTTAGCTTGTCGAACTGTCAGTGAAAATCGAAAAAAATTGTGATCTTGTGCGTTATCTTGCTCTTTGATGAAAATTGCTACTTCTTCTATACATTTCTCAATAAATAATTGAAAATTTACGACTTGGCAGCTATAAATATTGTTCAAAACATCGAAAATGCTGAGAAGTGTCTTCAACCCTTGTATAATAAGAATAATGACATATCCATAGAAATGGCATATGTTGACATAACTCAACAATAGGTTATGAAATTCACGTAACATTGACATTTTTCATTGTTTTATTCACATTTGACTACTAGATACCTGCGAAATTGCGATGCTGTCAATATGTGCTCATCGCGTATCCAGAAAACGATTCGCAAAATCGCAAAAGAATACCAAAATCGACTGCTTGGCGTTCCGCTAATCGCATACTTTCGCTCGCCGCTTTGAAATTATAACGTTTTTATGTCAAAGTTACAGAATACGGGCCCTGGGTTCGAATTCTGAAAATTAGAAAATGCTAAGCGCTTTTAGACGCTCAGCGTATATGACGTTAATTTTCGCTCAGCGCGCACTTAACTATAACGGATTTTGGTATTCTCATCTGACGCGTTTGGAGTCTTTATTGATTGCGCTGAGCGATTCGAAAACGATTACCATAAAGGATCGTTTTGCTTGTCGAACTGTCAGTAAAAATAGAAAAAATTGTGATTTTGCGCGTTCTCTTGCTCTTTAGTGAAAACTACTTCTTCTATAAATTCCTCAATAAGTAATTGATAATTTACGACATGGCAGCTATAAATATTGTTCAAAACATCAAAAATGCTGAGAAGCGTTTTCAACATAAATTCACGTAACATTCACATTTTTTATTGTTTTATTCACATTTGACTATTAAGCCGGGTTGTCACTGCGCGAAACTGTTTCGCGAAACTAGCCTCCCTTCGTGTATACTTCGTACTCACCCCGAAACTCGTTTCGTGAATATTTTTCGAAGTGAGCTAACGTCAGTCGGTTTTCGTTCGCGCATCAAAAGAGCTTCGTCTTCCGTGTTGCTCAAAGTGTAAACGTGCATCGTGGGTTTCGAGCCAGAAATGGACCAAGAATCATTGTCTCGCGCAAACTGACGGCTCACCATTTGTTTCCGCTTGGAGCACGAAACGTATGTTCGTTGTCCGAAACACATTCGCGAAACATTTTTTCGTGAAACAGTTTTGCGCAGTGACAACCCGGCTTTAGATACCTGCGAAATTGCGATGCTGTCAATATGTGCTCAACACGTATCTAGAAAACGATTAGCAACGAGAATACCAAAATCGACTGCTTGGCGTTCCGCTAATCGCATACTTTCGATCCCCGCTTTGAAAGCGTAACGTTTTTAGGTCAAAGTTACAGAATTCAAGCCCTGGATTCGAATTCTGAAAATTAGAAAATGCTAAGCGCTTTTAGACGCTCAGCGTATATGACGTTAATTTTCGCTCAGCGCGCACTTAACTATAACGGATTTTGGTATTCTCATCTGACGCGTTTGGAGTCTTTATTGATTGCGCTGAGCGATTCGAAAACGATTACCATAAAGGATCGTTTTGCTTGTCGAACTGTCAGTAAAAATAGAAAAAATTGTGATTTTGCGCGTTCTCTTGCTCTTTAGTGAAAACTATTTCTTCTATAAATTCCTCAATAAGTAATTGATAATTTACGACTTGGCAGCTATAAATATTGTTCAAAACATCGAAAATGCTGGGAAGCGTTTTCAACATAAATTCACGTAACATTCACATTTTTCATTGTTTTATTCACATTTGACTATTAAGCCGGGTTGTCACTGCGCGAAACTGTTTCGCGAAACTAGCCTCGCTTCGTGTATACTTTAACTCGTTTCGTGAATATTTTTCGAAGTGAGCTAGCGTCAGTCGGTTTGCGTTCGCGCATCAAAAGAGCTTCGTCTTCTGTGTTGCTCAGAGTGTGAACGTGCATCGTGTGTTTCGCGCCAGAAATGGACCAAGAATTATTGCCTCGCACAAACTGGCGGCTCACCACTTGTTTCCGCTTGGAGCACGAAACGTATGTATGTTCGTTGTCCGAAACACACTCGCGAAACATTTTTTCGTGAAACACTTTCGGGCAGTGACAACCCGGCTTTAGATACCTGCGAAATTGCGATGCTGTCAATATGTGCTCAACGCGTATCCAGAAAACGATTCGCATAGCAACGGGAATACCAAAATCGACTGCTTTATTACCATAAAGGATCGTTTTTCTTGTCGAAATGTCAGTAAAAATAGAAAAAATGTGATTTGTGCGTTCTCTTGCTCTTTAGTGAAAACTACTTCTTCTTCTATAAATTCCTCAATAATAATTGATAATTTACGACTTTGTAGCTATAAATATTGTTCAAATAAGAGCGAAAATGAACATTGATATTTTTCATTGTTTTATCCTTAGGTTTTATCCACATTTGACTATTAAATACCTGAGAAATTGCGATGCTGCCAATATGTGTTCAACGCTTATCCAGAAAACGATTCGCTCGGCAACGAGAATACCAAAATCGAGTGCATGGCGTTCCGCTAATCGAATACCCTATGCGAACACCTTCGCTTACCGCTTTGTAAAGCGCGTTTTCATGTCGAAGTTCGAGAATTCGGGCCCTGTACTTAGGATCTGTAGGTCGTTTAATGCCGATTAAAAGTTATCTTTTCATATTTTGTCGATTTCTGTCTCCTTGCCGATGACCTTTAAAAAAATGCAAAATTTTTTGAAAATTTTAATAAATGTCATTTACTAATCAAAGTGTTGACTGCCGCATTCAATCTCATTTCAATCTCATCAAAAAATATGCAAAAATTCCTATAAACATGGACGCGGAATGCATAGTTTTAATGTTACTCTATGTTAGAACTTAAAATACATAAAAAATGTCTATATACCAATGTGGCAGATTCGTCTCTCCAAAAAATCCCATATGGATATTTCGCCCACTGCAAGAAAATCTACAAAATAAAATAGTTATTTATTGTAAACACTTCTGCGTTAATCCAAACGGAAACTACTTGTCAGAAGTTAGGTTTACAGATATACAAATTTGCCTAACGAACAAAAAAAATGCTTAACGCTTCGGAAAGTTTATCTCTTTCCGTCGTCGCAAGCAAAAAAATACAAAGAATAAAAACTATTTAAAATATTTAAATTCAACTATTCGAGAACACTTTACAGCGCTTTCAGATGGAGCGGAGCGTCCACGACTTCGAGCAAGTACCATGAGTTTATATGAACAATTTCACATGGGCGCGTATGCTCCGTCCGACGGCTATCTTGAAAAAACATTACGGACGGTCCGTCGCGGACGGTCAGCTCCATCTGAAAGCGCTGTTTTTTAAAACAGATACGTCTACAAAAACCACTGACGTTTTAAAAATATATCTATCTATGTGTCTATATATTTTTTTGGAAAGTAGCACTGAAAATTAGTGTTATAAATTTTGATAAAATTTAATGATAAATTAGATTCAATAAATAATTTACAAATTTTATTTTGATTTTAATTTTATTAATTGGACATTAAAATAATTGCGTTTATCTCATCAAGGAGATCGAAATCAACAAATTATAACAAAACATTTTTAATCGGCATAAACAATTTTGCTAACAAGAGAAAGTCAGTGGCGCGCATGTTCTTTCTTGGAAAATTATTTCACTGATAGCCATATGCACGTCCCTGTAAATTTGTGGACACTTTTTAGCATCAAAATATGTAGGACTTATCGTAACTTATTTACCATCAAAATTTAATTCGAATCGCTAAAATCACTTAAAAGACAATTATAAATAAACGAAAATTATAATAAAAGAAAGCATAACCACACCAATGTTGATATAAAAAAATAAATCTTATTTTTACGTGAGGAATCTCTTTACGAAACCCTGTATATTTAGAAGTTTTAAATGGCAAGAGACGTCTCCCTAGAATGAAAATAGGTACTACTATAAAATACTGCACTTCAAAAATTGAGCCTGCTAAAATTTGCCATGATTTTTCATATACAGGGTGGCGCACCTCATTCGCCTCAGTTGATTATACGAAAACTGAAAGATGTAGAAACGAAATATTTTATGGGTATATGTGAGGAGGCAATGTGCACAACTTAAAATTATTTTGAAATATACAGGGTGTTTCAGAACTAAGATCCATACCAAAGTTATATTTTTTCTTATGGAACAACCGGTATTTTATTTCATTTTTGGATTCGTGGGCCCAAAAAAAGGCATTTATTATAAGGGTTAAATATGTTTAAAATTCTTGGTTTTTGAGATATTTTATAGATTATTAACACCCTGTACATTACTTTTCAGAATTAATTCTTGTGCTGAGTTTACAGGTAAAGAAATAAACTTTACTGAAAAATAGTATTGCTTCCTTAAATTTTATACAAGGGTACCAAAAATTACTGATCTATTTTAAGGATTTATTTTACATAAAAATTTCAAATAGAACACCATGTATTTTTTATAATAAATCGAAGCAGATTCAAATGCTCTTTCAAACTATATTAGGGTTCTCTCGAGGGTTCTCTATACCTATCTAGCTCAGATTTTGGTTTGGTTTGGTTTGGTTTATAATAATTAATAATTTATAATTAATAAAGAGCAATTTTTCTAATGACAGTTAGTAGCTATTTTCAAAATCCAAATTAATTTATGGTTAAATTTATACCAGTTTACTTTTATTTAATTTACCTACAATAGTATAATAAATAATATTTATTAAACATGTATTTATTATTCTATCAAGAAAAATGAAGAAATAGTTCTTTGATTTATTTTACGATGACTTGTTGGAATGAATAGATTTTCTATAAAAGAGCCAATTACGGCAAATTCATTTTCTTCATTTCCAACGACAGGTTTCTGCCTGATAGTTTCTTTATAAAACACACTACCAGATCTGCGAAATAGGACAAGTAATTTTGCAAAGGAACACCTATCAGGAAAATTCCTATTTCGATATCTTTAAGCTCTTGAGGCCAAGAAGCAATTTTCCTAATAAAATAAAATCACTGGTAACATATCCATTCGTTCCGCCAGCAGATACTGCTTTATTTTTCTTGGTAAAATAATAATGAATCTATTATCTAAAATAATAAACTATTGTAGGTAAATCTATGTAAACTGTTATAAATTATAATTATTATTATAATTAAAATAATGTCCATAAACTAATGTCGACTTTGAAAATAGTTACTAACTGTCAATAGAAAATTGTCGTGCGGCGACACCAGCCATCCTGATTGCAATTTTAGTTAAAAATCGCTTTTTATTCAAAAACTGAGCTAGATCGGTGTAGGAAACCCTAATATAGTTTGAACGAACATTTAAATCTACTTTAGTTTATTTTAAAAAATACAGGGTGTTGCATTTGAAATAACGAAGTTTATGTATAAAATAAATCCTTAAAATAGATTAGCAATTTTTGATACCCCTGTATAAATTTAAGGAAGCAATACTATTTTTCAGTAAAGTTTATTTCTTTGCCTTTAAAGTCAGCACAAGAATTAATTCTGAAAAGTAATGTACATGGTGTTAATCATCTATTCTATTTTAACATAGTATAAGGAAACTAGTAGCTTTACTCCTTGTCAAATTCTTTGTTCTTTTTCTGCCACTTTATATGACCTTGTTCTCGCCTCCCGTGACCACTGACGTAGCTGTATAGTCGTGGTCTATTAACTAGGCAAAGTATAGTCGTGGCACTCGCCATAGTTTCACAGATATGTATTATTTGCAACACCTTGTATATTATTTTTCTTTCAGATGTAGAATTAAAAGATGAACATTTTTTGTTTTTAAAGTGTTCTTAAATTTTTAGCCGTTTTGCAAATATTTTCTGTATTTCATTACATATGGGATTTTCAACGATAAAATATTAGACAAAGATCATATTAGGTGGTTTTGATAAAAATTTACTGTTGAAAGGGCCATATCACAGATAACACATATTATCTGTGGCCATATGTAATATAATATTGCGAATATCTGCGAAACCGTTAAAAATTTAGAAACACTTTAAATAAAAAATGTTCACTTTTTAATTCTGCATCTGACAGAAAAATAATATACAGAATGTTGCATTTAAAAAAATTGAGATATACCATTTTAAATATTCCGATTTTAGTGACGCCATAAAAAATACCCTATATAGAATGACGTAAAATAAATAAATAAATAAAACTAACTTTACCATAACTTTTTTTGTGACACCCTGTATATAACAAAGTATTTTAGGATACACCCCTTTATAAACCTTATGAATAAAACTTTTTTCACATCTGTACAATATTTTGATGTACAAAATATTTACTCTAAAATTGTTTCAAAAACCAATCTATATAAATTATCTCGTAAATTATTATTGGAATGAAAATTTTATGGCAAATCCCCTGACCAAAAAATATTTTCATGAGCATATTTGAGACAACCTGTATATCTAAAAAACTATTTTTAAAATCTGCCCACATGCTAAAAAAATAATAACATTTAATTCATTACATAATATCTCAGCTTCTAAAATAAACAAATATAATTAAATGTTTATTGATAATTACTATCAGCTTACATCCGATGGAAATCTAAAAAAACTCAAAGAACAATTTTTTGAATTATTACTACAATTAATAGCAGCACACAGTAAGGCCATCCCTGTATACTACAGGGCGAGTCAAAATTAAAAAACCCATCTTTGGCTCTTTTAATAAACAACTTGTTTTTCATTAAAAATGCAGTTGGAACTGAAGACAGAAAATTAGTGTAAAAACGATGTTGGACTTGTGTATGCGCTTTTAGATGTTTAACGTTACAGTAAAAAAATAACAGAAACCTGTTATTTTCACTTGTTATACAGGGTGGTCCGAACTATATTACGGAAACTTCGGCAGCATATTCTGCAAAAAAAAATAAGTAAAAAAGTTCGTATACACACGTTTCGAAGACACAGGGTGTAGAAGTTTCATTTTTATTTCGATTCAAAAATTATTTCTGTAACGTCAATATTTGGATGAAAATTGGTACCTGGGAGCTTTTTGGATCTGGAACTATCTTCGTCGATCAATATCTTCGTCAAAATCTCAACTGCTGCTCTGACTCTCAAGAGTTGGCGCCTGGCGCGCAGGTCAAGCGGGAGTACGCGAAGATTAGCAGAGTTGGCTAGCTGGCTAGTGAGTAAGCTGTGATAAAATGCTCGCTATAAGATAAAATAACAGATGTAAAGGTTATTTGTGAAATCTTCTATGAATTTTCAATATCTCAGATAAGTACAAGGAGGCCCAAAGAGTATTAAAGTATACTTTTCTTTGGTATAGGGAGAAACGTAAGAAAAAATACACTGCTTATAATTAAATAATCTTTTATTGACGATTTAGTACATTTAAAGACATTTTAATACATTGTACACAGTATTTTCTTAAACGGTAATATATTTAGTCCAGTGATAATATAAGGCCCAGTTCAGAAATATTTTCAAAAATCTGATTATTTTCCTCTGTTCTTAAAACTGTATTGAAAAATAAAGTTCCTTAAAACATCAAAAATAGTTGTTTCCTATATAATAATCAGAAATTCGGTATTTTTTCTAAAATTTGTTGTCTATTATAATTGGACTACTTTTTTCGAGTCTCAAAAGTTGAGTTTAAAATTGGCAACCAGACATAAATGATCAGAACCCAAAATTTTGTTGGGTATTTTCATGGATCCAAGTTCACTCTTACGAGGTAATCGGTATCTAGATAGCAGTTCTAATCTATGGTCTTTGATTTCTCTACCTTCACGTTTACCACTGAAAAATAATAATAATAATAAAGTGTGATTATCCAACTTAAGCAAATTCAAGATTAAATAAATTCAGCAAACCCGCGATACATATTTGTTTTTCTTTCGGAAATATGCCCGGACATAGATTAATATTTTAAATTGCGCTCTTTGTGACGTAAGAACATTTTATACAGCGTGTCTCAAATTTGAGATATGTCATCAATACTTTTTAATGCCAACCCTAAGGCTTAATGTTCATGTCCATTATCCGTTGATACGACGGTCCGACACGACGGCGGCGGCGCTCTGATTGATTTTCATCCGTAATTTTTTTACTCCAGCCGCAGCCCGTCAATGGAGAAAGATCGTACGATAACGGACATTTTGACGCTTTTTTGACAAATTTAATCTAACCTTAATAAAAATATAATAGTACAAGAGTCTAGTAACGTCGGGAAAACGAGAATTTTAAGGAAGCTGGTTCTTTAATATATCTTTTGCTACGCTCTGCTGTGCTCACCTGGCCAAACTGCGGGCCGTCTGGCCGCTGGTAGACTACTGCGGTTCACTACTATTGCGTATCACATCTGTACAGGGTACCCCATTTTCGTGTATTTTATGGGATTTCTCGTTTATCAGGAGAGATACAATGATGCGATTTTCACATTACTTTGTTACTTTTTTATGAAACTAAATATGCTACACACAGGTTTGTCCCAGCCTCCTTAGTTCCTGAAATACAGGGCGAATTTGTGATCCTCAGTAGTGAACAGATGTTGAATACAGATATGATACGAGTAGTGAACGCAACGTCTACCGGCCCCTAGACGGTCCGCACTCGGTTCAAGAGAGCATAGCAAAAGATATATTAAAGAACCAGCTTTCTTAGAATACTCTCTCGAAAACGTTGCTAACTCTTAGACTATAAGCGAAGCTATAAATAAAACAGCGAAGTTGGAAATGAAAATATAAAATGACACCAATCGCAAGTACCAATCGCACCAACAAATCGTATATCCGATGAACGGAGACACGAAAATGCAATAAATTTAAAAACTGCGTAATTTTCTAACCAATCGAAGTTTTTAAATTCAACCAATAAAATTAATGTATCATCGTATCGTCGGATAACGCATGCATGAAAATCAAGCTTAAGTGTTTATGGCTAATCCTAAACGATACATCAACTTATACAGGGTGTTTCACAAAACATATGTCATCTCTCGTGAGGATATTCCTCATGTAAAAATAAGATTTATTTCTTATATCAACATAGGTTAAATTTTGCTTTGTGTCAGTAGCTACAGGGGGTTAAAGTTCATTCTTCATTTATTTTTTTCGATTTATTATAATTTTCATCTAAGTGAAATTCAAATGAAATTGTTTATCAAGTGAAAAAAAGACAGTGGCTTACATGTTTTTTAGAATAATATTCCAGTGGCAACCGATACGCACGTCCTTGGTAAATATGTCGACAATTTTTTAGAATTAAAATAAGTCGCATCTTCTGGAACTTTTACCCTCAAAGTTTCATTCGAATTACTAAAGGCATTTGAAAGAAAATTATAATAAATCGAAAAAAACAAAAACAAGACTAACTCCCTGTAAATAAAAACAAACAAAGCAGAATCGGACTTGTACTGATATAAAAAATAAATCTTATTTTGACGTAAGGAATTTCCCCACCAGATACGGCACATATTTTTTAAAACATCCTGTATAAATAATTAATGAATATAAAAGATCTTTATATTTTAGTGATTTAGAATAAGATAGTTTTATAATCGAACTAATATACACTAAACATACCAGAAGATCATAATCGGATCATAGATTTCGATTTATCTCATATGTAATTCTAACGATAAAAAGAATACTGTTTTTATTCGAAAAACATCGAAAAACTAATTTTTTTAAGTTTCTGTATAAACATAAACCATTTTTTGAAGTGAAACTTCTTTACTCGCAATAGGAGTAAAAAAGCAAGATCGTGACACACCACGGCCTTGACACGACATGCGACATGGCCTTGACCATGCATTGACGCATGAGCTAGCGAGAAAAAGTGATAAGGATCGCGCAAACTCCAAAAAACATTTGATTTGATTGAGACATTATTTGACCAATATCCTCTGGTTGTAAAAAGTAAATTTTCATGCATATTTTTATCGACAGGTTTGTAGGTTCTGAATAACGGTCTAAGTAAAGCATTTAGCTCATTTGATAGCTCAGAATTAGAATTATTAGAATTAAGCAACTCGCATTTTCATTGGAGGACATTGTCATCTTTATTTCAAACCAACAATCAACGAGAATATTCGTTTAATTTAACAAAATTACTGTAAACCACTATAATTACAAATTATTGGTTAGGTTCAAAATTTTTTCTCTTAAATAAATTTAAGCATTAACATTATTAAGCATTTGCTTAAAAATGTGTATTTTGAATGGTATTCCACAAAATTTGCAGGCTATTGAGGAAACAGAAAATGTACAGGGTGAGTCAACGATAGAGTAAAGTCCATTTTCTCATTTGTTTCGAGGTTTACAAAAAAATCTTAAATATAAAAGTTATAGGGAAGGTTAAGATACACATTTTAAAATTATTATAGAGTATACAGGGTGCTTTAAAAAAGTGTGGCGGATATAACATATGTTTTTTTAAATGTAACACCCTATTTTTTATTTTATTTTTAGATTCTGCGTAAAATTTCATAACTTTCTTATATATAATGTTATATACCTAAAATTAATAGCTTTTGTAATATTTAAATTTGTTTAAACAAATGTTAAATTGCAGTGTGGTAAAAAATTGTCAGTGGTGCCATTGTTTCTGAAGTTGGAATACCAAAATTTGGAATGAGAGTTTTACAGAGATGAAAAAAAAAGATATATGAAAAGATATTTTAGTTAAATGCTACAGGGTGTTCAAAATATATTTATGAATTTCAACTACTTAAAATTAAAAAATCTCAATTTTTTTAAATGATACACCCTATATATTTACATTTTTTCTGATAGATTTTGCAAAGCTCTTCAACTTTTATTAAGTATGTCAAATACCTATTTTTAATAGTTTGCGATTTATTTCAATTTCATCTATTTTTACCCATCTTTAATACAATTACGTTATAATATCATAACTGTCACGACAAAAAATAACAACTTTAAAAATTTCATATGTCTGTTAAGCAAGTTAAGAACAAACGTGAATTTATAGTTTAATTTGTTGTAATAAGTATAAATGGTAGAGGTAGAGATAATAGTTACAGATTTTCCTGAAAATAAATTAGTCAATGTGACTGATATACACGAACAAGCCAAGATAAACATATTTTTTGGTTCAGTACTGTATATAATGTGTTTTTTTTTTAAATTGGATTAGGATCGAAAGAAATCAACAGAAGTCTTTTGTTTTAAATTTGTCGACGTTTCGCAAAATTTATTTGCATCTTCAGGACGCTACAAAGTTAAGAGAGCAAAATACAATCAAAAAAAAAATTTTTAAAAATTTAACAAACAACTTAAAACACATATCAGTGGAATTCCACACATATACAATTGGTAAAACTACCCTAATGTTAACAATTAAATAAAATATATGTATATGTTACTCACATTTAAATCTGGACTTTCTTAGTCATATCCATTAATACACGGATATTATATACAGTAAATCTAATTTTTATTAGATTTACTGTATATAATATCATACTTTGCTAAGTACTATAAGTATAGATGTGTAGATTATCTAGAAAACATTTTAATATTATATTATTTTCAGTGTATAATGGGACGGTTTCGCGGCAGTAGTAATTTTGGCTTTACAAAATGAATTATAAACCATCAGAATTACTACGAGAAAAAAAAACTTTACTATATGTCGAAGAAAATTCGTATATCAGTAGTCATCAACAATTAGGTAATCTAATTAGTATTACCCTAATCTGTGGCTATTCTCCGTGACGGAAAATCCAAGAAATTCACGACTACAATTTGAGTTTATTTGAGTAAAGTTAATTAGTTTTAAATAATAATAACAATTGTAACTAATTATTAAACTACTTGTTAAAAATAAATAAAAAATATTTTTGTTTTGTCACGGTAACTATAATGTTATAGCGTAATTGTATTAAAAATTAAGGTAAAAATAGAAAAAATTGGAATAAATCGCAAACTATTAAAAATAAGTATATGACACACATTATAAAAGTTGAAGAGCTTTGCAAAATCTATCAGAAAAAATGAAAATATATAGGGTGTACCATTTAAAAAATTCGAGCTTTTTTAATTTTAAATAGTTGAAATTCATAAATATATTTTAAACACCCTGTAGCATTTAACTAAAATATCTTTACATATATCATTTTCCTCATCTCTTTAAAACTCTCACACCAAAGTTTGGTATTACAACTTCAGAAACAATGGTACCACTGACAATATTTTTACCACACTGCAATTTAACATTTGTTTAAACAAATTTAAATATTACAAAAACTATTAATTTTAGGTATATAACACTATATATAAAAAAGTTATGAAATTTTACGCAGAATCTAAAACTAAAATAAAAAATAGGGTGTTGCATTTAAAAAAGCATATGTTATATCCGCCACACTTTTTTGAAGCACCCTGTATACTCTATAATAATTTTGAAATGTGTATCTTAACTTTCCCTATAACTTTTATATTTAACATTTTTTTGTAAACCTCGAAACAAATGAGATAATGGACTTTACTCTATCGTTGACTCACCCTGTACAACAAATTAGAGGAATAAATTGAAAATAATATTCATATTAAAACAGCATTATACATATCATCCCATTGCTGCCAAAAGTCACTAACTTACTTTTTGTTACTTCCGAGAAAAATGCGTCTAAAGATGAATTGCATTGCATAAAGATGTGATAGTAACTATTCGGTATTAAAATAAAACATAAATAGCCAGAAATCGTAGTTAATGACTTTTGCAATCGATTCTCCGCTTCAAAACATAGTTAGTGATTGAATTTGGTTGTTCGGAAAAATGTTAGTTAGTGACTTTTGGCAACAACAGGACGATATGTCACTTTTTCAAACATGCCCTTCAAATCCTCCAATTGAATAGCTGTTAGTAAGAAGTTTCACTTCAAATATATTTGTTTGTAATTATGTATGCTATAGAATTTCCGCATCTTTTAATCGCTAGTAAAAAAATCATCCTCGCTTGTTTGGTTAGGTTGTGAATGAACTTTCTGGCAAACTCTGTATATTACAAATCTAAGTAAAGAACTGTAAGTACCTGTAAAAAATATAATCCACCGATATCCATTCGTCGTGATAAGTTGATCCTTCAGAGTTTTCGTGATGGCCATGATCATATACCGATCTTAAGGCAAATAAATGAGATATGGTGCCTGAACAGAAGAGTTCCGAATTCTTCACAACTTCCTCAGTGGTTTTTTGAACGGTTTTTTCAGAATTGTGCAGCTTGATGAGAGCGGATTCTTCCGTTCTGGAGATGGTTTCCTTGTCATCGCGTTTCTTTACAAGAATCGCATGTTGACTGTTGTCTGTAGGCAGACAAATAATATAAATAGACAAACTTTATTATATATTTTATTTCAAATAATAAACAGAGGTTCTAATAGTTTTTACGTTGATTATTGACGAGTTTATAGAAATATAAATCCGTCATGCGTCGTCTGGCTGTTTTTAGCCAGTCTTATTGGTTTATTTAATAAATGACAGATCATATCTCAATAATGATTCGAAGAACGACGCACTGACGCAGATGAGTATGAACTCGACTTAAGATTTTTGAGACTTGTCAAACTTCTGCCAAATTATAGGTTATTATTTGTGTCAAAGAACCAACGTTCTGGAAAATGATAAATATTCGCAAAATAGTTTTGAATTTGGGTTTGTGGTATTATACGTTTTTTGTTTATTAAAGTTAAGTGAAGAAAAAATGTTTGAAGTTAATTAAGGAAATATTTAATTATTATAAATTATAGGGATATGTTAAAGACAGTGTTCAAATCTCGATCAACTATTGTCAATAACACAAGAGAAATGACTGTAACAGAAAATAATTTAATGCAGTGTACAGGAAAGAAAGCATTTTGAGCCATTTGATTTTATCTAGCCAATTTTTGTCACATAATTATATGTTCATATTTAGTTTTAATTCTGTAATAATTAAAATACGTTTTACTCTACATTGTTAGTATTTTGAAGATACATAAATTCTTCATTAAATATTGGAAAAATATCCTGGACGCTTTTAAAAGTGACCAGTGTTTGATATTAATTTTGCCTCACCCCGTATATCTTTTCGGGTCAAATCTTAAATTGGTTTAACATATAATAGATATTTTAACTAAATATTATAGGCTACACGGAATAAATTACAATTTAAGAAACTGATATTGTAATTTAAAATCTATTCTTCGTTTTCATAAAATGTGAAATATGTTAAAAACTAGTGATGGGATAACTCGAGCGAAAATTCGCTTGAGTACTCGATTATTGAAAAAACCGACATCGCTCGATTATGAACGAGCGATGCAACTGACGAGTTCCAAGCGACGAACGAAAGCGATCCTAGAACGAAATAAATTGAAATTTTAATAAAATTTTAATGTGACATACTCGATAAAAAGCCGAACGAATTTTCTACATACATTGCAGGTAGCAAATTTATACGACGCCGTATATATATTTATCCGTTGCGTATGAGGGACAAAATTTTACGCCTTATATCGACAATGCTTTAAAAAAAACTAAATCAAGCGATCAAGCGAATCGCTCGCCGCTTGCTACTTGCCATTCATTACCGAAAGAATATGTGCCCTGCGCACGCAACACCCTGCTTGGCGCTTAGCGTTAACGAGTACTTACAAGATGCGACGGGTGAAAAACCGTATTTTTAAATACGAGTGATATTTCGCTAGAGCGATCACTCGGTTATTGCAATCGCTTGAAACTCGAGTACTCGATTATTGAAATTAATCGGTTTTTCCCATCGCTATTAAAAGCCTTATATTTTAAACTTTAAAGCGTAACATTTTTTGGAGACACCCTGTAGAACTTTATATATTTTTGTAAAACGCATTTCATTTCAATATAAACTACCGTTCTTCTTTGAGCCTCTGCGTCGGATAAGAGGCGCCACCGTGTGTATATGGGTAGTTATCTTTTACACATGCATGTATATATTTCTATGAATTTACCTGTAATTTCCAATTCTTTAGGTACTAAAACTTTTCCGTGTCTTGTGGTATTAGAATGGTCCAAACATCTCTCCCCTAAGTGTTTATAGGTCAGAACACCCCTAGTAATATATTCGTACACAGCAGAATCTGGTTTAGTATTAAAATCACCAGTTATTATTATTGGCAGATATTGATCACTGAAAATAAAGAATATACAATAATTCATAAATATGTCTTAGGAAAATAATAGTCTTTCTAATGACAGAAATAATGATTTCATCAACAGACGACATTTTGATTTATTTTGACACTTCGGTCACAAATTAACTACAACAGATGCGAAAGAACACCGAATTACGCGTTCAGGTTTCTGCGACCTTCAGAAAGAGTTCATAGACAATCCGCATCAATGTATAGTTTGGGTTATTATTTGTTTGGGTGAAAATAATCTGCACCAATATGTTATCGAGGCATTTATTCTCACAGTAATTTAATAGATTGCTCGTCATATTATATCAGTTCGTAGGAGATTAGGGAAAAAAATATTTATAGTATAAAAAATTAATTTATTTAACAAAATTTAATTAAAGATGTGACAAAAATAGTTACTTTTCTATTGGTTCTATCGGACTTTTTTCAACTATATAAATCTTTATTTTTTGTAAACTTTAATGCATAAAATATTTTCAATCTAATAAATAATTTAATGATGTAAATAAGAGGAAATTTCTCACATCGGTGGTCAAATTCTATAGTTTTCATTATATCAAACAGCCTCTGAATGTTTTCTTCAGTGCAAAACTCATCAAAATTTAATATAAATAATTTTTCCATTTCCAGTATATAAAATGAACAAATTTTTCCACTTTCATGATCAAAGGCTTTTAAATGGGTAAATAATTTCGAGTTATCCAGAGATTCGGATTCTTTTGCAAATTTTAGACAAATATCACATTGATGTATTTGAAGACCCTTTTAATTGATGTAGTCAAACATAATTAAAGGCATTTTGAGTTGAAAACATTTCTCAGAGGCTGTTTGATATAATGAAAACTATAGAATTTGACCACCCGTGTGAGAAATTTCCTCTTATTTACATCATTAAATGATTTATTAGATTGAAAATATTTGATGTATTAAAGTTTACAAATAAAGATTTATATAGTCGAAAAAAGTCCGATAGAACCAATGGAAAGGTACTATTTTGTCACATTTTTAATTAAATTTTGTTAAATAAATTAATTTTTTATACTATAAATATCTTTTTTTTTTCCTTATAAATAAACACATTGTATCCCATTTTAAATAAGATATACAAATTACTAAAACTTAGAAATAACAGTTCAAAAGTTCAACAAAAATCCTACACCCGTTTTTAAAAAGAAACATATAACCACGCACTATGTCATTCCAGCAAGCGAATACGACACAGCATAGGTTTCCGGACTAAACGACTGGTGTATTTACACCACTCAATAGGCGTGTGGGGTTTGCCGAGCGGTTTCCGATGCAGTCGCTTTCTTTCGCATCTGTTATAGGTAATTTGTGCTTCGGTTTTGTATTACGAGTTTTTGATTTAAGTGAATTGTGTTGCGACTTTGTTGTGATACTTTAAGCTTAATTTTTTTTTACTAGCTAGCAGATCTCGCAGCCGAAAACTGTCCTCTTTAGAATTGCTTGTAGTGAGAAGCCTACAAGATGCCGAAGCAGCTTAACAGCCGTTGCTAAAAACTTATCGCAACCTTATATCCTTTAACTGCTGTTAAGGAGGTAACATTTTTTAATGTAAATAATAACTGTTTATATATTTATAATTAATTTATTTTTATTGCCTAAAATATTTTGATTAAAAGAAAATATGTAAAAGTGGACAACGCTGTGCCGGTTGAGCTTAATCACGTGACTAAAAGTTTATTTGGTATTATTATTATTTATAGCTAATCATTATATCATAAGATTGAAAAAAAAACGGCATCAAGGTTGGCTCGGAAGTGATTTGGTTTGGTTTGGTTTGGTTTGGTTTCGCTGTCATTTCATACCTTTGAATAAGAAGACTAAGGAAGGAGCATAATAATATCCGTGTATTCATGCATGGTGGGCGGAAAAAGGACCCTAGGGTGGGGATCCTTGGCAGCTCTGTTTGACGATTCATTTGACACATTTGAATTTGATTTGAAATTTTGTGGATTTGTCAGTCTTTACGGAGCTTATTTTATGTTATTTATTATTTATTCTACTACCGATAGTTGTATAAAGGTAGTAAATCTAGATAGAAATTGTGGCAGAACTTAAATCAACAGTGACACTATCGCAATTTATCGAAAAAGACTCTAAAATAGTTGGTTGTGTAGCGTGCGGTAGATCTCGGCAAAAATCGAGTGAAATAATGGAACAACTTTTCGCTAGTAAGTGACTATATAATATACATACGTGTAGTAAACTGATCATTTATGAAATTCGATTAAATTAACTAATTATATATTTTTCTTGCATTTTTGCTTTTATTTACTGCTTGTCAAAGATTAGATGTCAAAGAATTTAGATACGTCAATTTGATTTACCTGCTTCAGTAGCGTATCGGATGTTTGTGTTAATAAATAATTATTATAACTTATCTATTTTTATTAGAATTATATATTTTTGTAACAATTTTAATAACTACCAACATTTATTCACAACGTAAAATAAAACAACATATTATTGAGTCTACCCCACGTCTACCCTACATCATAGTTTTACATTTTTTAAATAAAATTAGAACGGCACTGGTAAACCGGAATTTAAGTCGGCCATATTTGAGGCCCATCGCGGTGGACCTAAGATTTTTGATATGCTCCTTCCGTAGTCTTCTTATTCAAAGTTTCATACTCATAATTAAATGATGAATGTCAGTGATCGGCATTTCCAAGTTAACTTGATGACGTTTTCTTCGATCATGCGGTAATCTTACCTTTTCTGTGATCTTGAGAAACTTAACCTCTCAATTTCGGCCACCAACAGCTGAGTTTGAGCCAATCTCACATCAGTTCTTTTAGGATTATACAACAAATGCGTGGTAGCAACTATAAATTCGTTTTCCGGCTGATTTTTTGGACTAAATTTCGCTATGATCGCTACATTATCCCTGTTCAGCACACCAACATAGGGCTGGAAGAATTCGACTGTCTCATACTCAACCAGGTTGACTTTGTCAGCTTGATAAAAAATGGCACAGCCGTCCGTGGTCATACCTGTCCGTTTTTTATACAACCCTTTGTATCCTTGTTACAATAAAAAAGTTCGAGTATAATAATAAGAACATTCTAAAATTTTGTTTATTGTTTCCTTACCTAAAAACTCAAACTTATTATAATAGTCTGTTAAATGGGACTCTTGTACTTCTTGCAAACACATAATCTATAAGAAAAAATAAGATAATTTTGAGTTTAAAACTCACGAAAAATAATTAAACATAGAACAGTAACATTATACAGGATATCTTTTAAGATAAGTACAATAATAGAGTAAAATTAAATTTTCATTTGTTTTGAGAATTATGAAAAAATGTTAAATAGAAAAGTTTTATAGAAGGTTTGCTTTAGTAATACAAATTTAATATGATTTTTGAAACTACTAAAAATAGGTATTTCTGTGCGTCTCCAAGTGGCTCACCCCCAAGAACAGTTAACCTAATAGGACTGCTCATTCAGCCAAAAGTGTCCGCCAGGTGCATGCGAAAACTACTCGCTTTGTGACGTCATTGTAGCCCTTGTCATGGTTATTAGCCCTTATCCGGCAACCAATAATACACACACGTGCATTATTGGTTACCGAATGCAAAACGTTCATTATTTAGTTTATTTATTTAAACACCTTATATGTATGCAGTATAGAAAATTAACTGCATAAATCGTATTAAATACTCGGATAATGCATTTTTAAGAACAGCAGTTCCCAGCATCACCTTTTGCAAGCATTCTTTTTAGAGTACTTCCATATTTTGCTTTAAAATAATTAATAAACAAAATCGTGGGCACTTAGTATGCACTTTGTCACATATAGCTAGTAGCTCTAAAAACTTTAAAGACACCTTTTTCACATTTAAAATTGACAAAATAATTAACTCAAAATTTCTCAGCTGTTATTTTTATAAGTTTACCATAGGCAACTAATAATACACACTATCATGACAAGGCCACGAAGTCTTTGACAAGGGCTACAATGACGTCACAACTGTCAGCTGAAGCGCGGGAAGAGGCGAACGTACGTCTTATGAGGATGAGCAATCCTATTAGTTTACCGTTCTTGGCTCACCCCTATAAAACTTTTTTAATTTTTCAGATAAAAAACGAAATTTGGTATGTTAGTATATGACATAAATTAGGATTGATTGACGTATTCATTGTTTTTGGTCATTTCCTCGAATTCCAACAATTCTATTGGCTGAAAAATTCATCTGTCAAAGATTTTAGCCAATAGAATTACTGGAAATCTATTCAAGGCCGTTACGCCGATAAGCCGTTCTGCTTTTTCTAGGATGGTATGGATGCACCCTCATTCTATTCAGTGTCATTTTTTATCCAATAAAGTAGAAATATACTTAGGGTGCCATTTAAAAATCAAAAGTTGTAGTAATTTCCGGTGAAACAGGAAGTAAATTTCACACATCATAAAGTTCTATGTAAAAATGAAAAACCATTAAAAAAATTTCGAAAGTTTTTAAGTAAAGTACTCTGCTAAGTATAACTTTCTTGTCAATGTTCTAACTGACTTTCCTTAACTGTCAAAGTTAAAAATAACGCCTATTATTTATTTTAAAAATAAGGAAAATGCTTGCACTTATTTAATAGACAACCAATATAATAAAAAATCTACCAAAGCCAAAAAAATGATAAATACTGCTTGTTCTAAAAATATAATATTACTTATAAACCGAAGATGTTGTCACGTTGATTATAATCATTATATTTACTTATATTTATAAAAAGTTGCCATAAAGAAATATCATGAACCGTTCATGAACCTCTTCTAAGTTTACTAATTTCACTAAGATCTGACATTTGAACTACTTTTGTCTAAAACATTAGGCAACCAATTATACATTGCGAATTACGCAATTTTCCAAAGCAAAGTGCAAAAATGTTAAAAATAAGTATTTTCGTATCAAAACATTTACATACATCTGGTAAAATTTTACTTATTTCTTCATACAGATTCCTCCATCGAATTTTCCATTCTAATGTTTTCTGGTTATGATATTTATACAAATATAGATGTTGTTCGATCAAATCCTGAGCCAACACATTATACGACATAAGTTTAAACTGAAATCCTGGCTTTTCATCATATTTATTCACTTGTTCCCAGTATCTCTTTGATAAAATTTTTAAATCTGGAAAAATATATACTAGATAATATTAATAATCATTAAAAAACAAATTAAATACAAACTGAGAATATTTCCCATTTTTGTTACAAAATTTACCTCAATAATTTAAAAACATTATGAAGCAAAAAGAAATGTTCTAATTTTTAGATAAGATAAAAGAAGTTTCAAGAAAAATATTATTTAAACAAATTATCATAGTTAATTCGGTATTGTTTAAAATAAGCTTTCTAAAGAACATTCATTACATTTACTTTACCTCGTTCATTGGGTTGTGACTTTCTGAATATACTATCATCACTCCTACTTCTTGTCATGTAATTTCTTGAAATATGTAAATTATTAATACCCTGCATTTGTTGAAACATAGTGGAAGAAAGGGTACCATATATAAAAGGATATGCTGATGAATATACTGCGTTTCCATAATAATACAATGGATAACCTTTTAATAGAAATAAGTAAAATAAGTATTTGCACTTGACATTACAATAAACTGATAATTTTAGATTCTTTTATTTGTAAACAATGTCTGACACATTTCTGATAAGTTTGAATACTCACAATTCATATATTGAGACTCCATTGTGTTATTTTGATAATCATTTTCTGTACTGACTTGGGGACACTGCATAACAAATGGCCTAAATTGAAATATGTTCTCTGCGCTTGTTGATCTTCGTATAGTTCTATCTCCATCTAAGAGACTAGTAACAGCCCATGAACTTGTTGCACCAGTGTTCGATAATATATTACTGGGAATATTAGACATACTGGAAGGAGCAAAAGAAATATTGTCTAACAATTTGAAATACCAGTTGTTAAATACTACTGAAAAGTTAAAACGAATCCGCGAAGTGTTTTTAAACATGTAGTCATATTTATAAAATAATTTTGTAAACACGGATGTTTGTTTATGCTGAGACTTTAGAAATACATAACTATTTTGCTAAATTAAAAAGTTAACCTAAATGTTAAATAACGTCAGAAAAAAAATTGCAATAAAAAATTGACATTTTGAAAGGTAAGTAGGTAAGTTCCGCATTAAGATAAAAGCAATAAAGATACTCTAGATTTTCGGTTTTTGGCGTCCAAGAATAAAAGAATCAAATAACAAAGGAAGAAAACTCTGACATCATAATTATTTACCTCAATTAATTGATTATTGACTTCAGGTTTTCAGTTTTAAAATTAAATTTAATTTTCGGAACGTTCTTATCTGATCCCCCTATAATCGATAACAAAGCGCTCTACTTTTTGACAGAACGGACCTTGATAACTTTCGATTGTCTGCCAGCGAGTTTTTTGATAAAATTTGACATTTAATTGAAGTTGAGTGAGGCTGGTCAAATTATATTGTCAATAAAAACAAGTTTAAAAGGCTCCAGCCATGGTAAGAATATTTTAAAAATGCACTATAACTTACAGTAATTATCATAAATATCAATTTACTATTCAGAATGTAGTTAAATACTTGGATTTCTATTACTGTAGGGCAAGCCCATATCTTGGCCCAAGACATTAAATGAACTAGTTCAAAGGGATATTATAATTAAACATGCTATTTTTTAGGGTAACGAAAGTTCCCTGCCCATGGAGCTATGCTCTAACTGTAAGTATAAGATTTTATTAGTTATATTTAGACATCAGTTTGATCCAAGCTAATTTATAAGTCTAGGTTCAAAAACATTTCCAATTTTTTATTGTTTTCTTTTAGAGATAACAATCATTCATGCAATTTCTTAATATTTTAGTTGTATATAATTGTTTAGTTAAAATATGGTACAAGCTTTCTTTTTACTCATGTAGTTGATGCTGATGAAATCCGTCGACTTGGAAAAAGGTTCCGGAAGCTAGACTTGGACAATTCGGGTGCTCTGAGCATTGATGAGTTCATGTCTCTTCCAGAATTACAGCAAAATCCACTGGTTCAACGTGTAATTGATATATTCGATGCTGATGGAAATGGGGAGGTTGATTTTAAAGGTATGTCTTTAATTTTAATAGTCATATTTTTGTTCCGTATTTAATATGCTTGCTTTTATTGTTATTTGTAGAGTTTATACAAGGAGTGTCCCAATTTAGTGTTAAAGGGGATAAATTATCCAAATTGAGATTTGCTTTCCGTATCTATGATATGGATAATGATGGGTACATTTCTAATGGAGAATTGTTCCAGGTATGTAACATTTTAATGAACATTTTTAATTTTTTTGACAGTATTTACATACAGTACAGTATTTGAATAAATTACCATTTTTTCATATAATTGAGTGGTAAACAATCATTGTTAAACCCAATGTCATAAGCCCAGTTATATGTGGCAACAATGCAAAACAATAAGAGATCTCCTAACTTTGGCTTACTTCTTTGATTGTAAATTGAAAATATTCTTATGATATTCTTTGCTGTATAATTTTACTGATTTTTGTTATTTACTTTCTAAACGAAAACAGGTATTAAAAATGATGGTGGGCAACAATTTGAAAGACACCCAACTTCAGCAGATTGTGGACAAAACCATTCTCTTTGCTGACAAAGATGAAGACGGCAAAATCTCTTTCGAGGAATTTTGCAATGTGGTTGGCAACACTGACATCCACAAAAAGATGGTTGTAGATGTTTAAACATTCTTTGTTTAAACTCCTCTCTCATAAACCCATCTTTAATTCTTCTTTTCCAATGCATAAGTTTTAAAAAATCACTTAAAAATAGTATCTCTATACATATATTTAAAGAAAACTTAAACTTCAAAAGAGGTTGGTGTATTGAGTAGTCCCATCACGGCTTGTTTCCTTCCACATTATATGTATTTTGTGATTTTAGGGGTATAGTTGTCAAAATAAACCGTCCTGTCAGATTGAAGGTATTTAGAAATGGAGATTATGATCTCTTAATCTAAAGTTTATCAACTGAAACCCTGTATATTTGTGCTTTATTGATTTCAAAGTAAATTAAATTCAATATGCACTTATAACACATGGTTTAGATCATGTTTTCTACAGATATATACATGGTGTTTTAAAAAATATGAATTACTGTAACTTTTTTACCAGTTATAGGAAAAAATCCACTCTCTCTATTCTTGTAGTTTTTTTTCGAGTATCTTTGTTACATCTTTACTAAAAAGCTGCAAGAATACTCCTAATGATAAGGTGGTGCTATAATTAAGGGTTTTTATTTTTGAAGCACTTCATATAAATCTTCGGCGGTATTTTTTAAATCACCCTGTATATTATTCTTCTAAACTGCCAGACGGTTTTCTCTTTAAAGTTTGTAATTTTGACGGCTATTTCACCCATAAAGACAAAGTTAGTTTTTAAGGTATAAAATTAAATCTTTGTAATCTTAGATTGACTTAATCGAAAGAATATAAAAATCTCACAAAGCTAAGTTGTAAAAACGTTTAAATCGTTGCAATGTAAAGCTTAAAGTCATTTATCTCTCCCATTTAACACTAAAAACACTAAAAATAAAAAAAGCTTTTAAAGAATATAATAACAAAACTACAAAAAAAATTAAATAAGGTTGTTCTTTATAATTCTAGGTGTTGTGTGTATTTTATAGCTTTAAGGAATTTGCAATTTACTCTATGCTATAGTTGCTTGATTTCTCGAAAAAAAATTGGGATTCTGTAGGTTAATTTTTGTTGTTGATTTTTTTTATGTATACTAACCTATAAGATAAGATAAAAATATTAATTGGGAAAAAGATCTATGTAGACTTCTATTAAGTTCTATGCGGTGAGTCAGAGCGTAATACTAAGTCTACAAGGTTAATAGAAAAAGCACCAAAAAAAGAATATTGAAGAAATGTACGAAAGTTTTTAGGCATATACGATGGAACCAAAAATTATGAAACCAAGAGACAAAAAACTAAATGGCTTTAATCCTTTTTTGTCTTTTTCTTTCTATATATTTAGAAGAATTTTCATGTATTTCTTCCTATATTAATTATTTTTTTATTGGTGCAGTTGGATTAATATCCACTCTTAGTCGTTTTATTGTACATTTTATGTGAATTAAGATTAAAACAAGAGTTGTAACAAAATATATTTGCTTGTAGTTGGAGAGTTATTTATTCCAATGTAATGTTAATAAAAAATATTGAAGAAATGCGTGATTATATGTTTATGTTTATGTTGTTCAATAAAAAAATATTTACCTCTCTGTATGATGGTTTCTGTGATTTTCTTCCTTGTCCTTTGTCGAATTTTTAACGGATCGTGAGTAGGTATCAAAATATTTTTTCTTTAATATTTTATATCCTTAAGGCCGGTTTTTACCCTTTTAATATAAAATATTGAAGAAATAATATCTGATTCTATGCTTAGATCAATGATAGCGAACTTATGACACGCGTGTCAGTGCTGACAGGCGAGCTCATTTTTGTGACACGCATCCTTCAAAGATAAAAAAACACAATTCAAGTATTTGTCTATCATGACGCACAGAGTTATTTAATAATATTATTACTTACGTTAATAATTAATCATTTTACTCAGAAACGAGACGTACAAGACATCTGTGTCGGAAAATATCTTCGGTTGATTTTAAAATCAGAAGTTTTCGGCTCTGTATTCTGCCTGTGATTCTGCTGTTTCGCTCTGTTTTTGTTCACGCAGTTCCGATGTTGATCGCATTAACATAATACTAAAATCGTGGCTTTGTCATAATATTTAAGTATTTGAGTTTTTAATAGTGCAGTTATTGAAACTACAAAACACTCAGGTACGAGGTTGGTGCGATGTAACACTGTTTCGGGTAGTAAAAATTAAGTGAAAAAGAATCCGAACTAGGCGTCGTGTTGTGTTGTGACAATTTCAAATATTAGTAAAATTGCCGAAAAAATCTTAACGCATAACGGAGAGCGGATTTAGGGCGTTGTTGTGTGCAATAACATTCAGTAACTCAACTTTCCCGGATATTCAACTCTCCCGAAACAATATTTTATAGCTTCATAGTTTCTCACACCGATTTGATCAAAAGCGTAAATGGATTCAAGCTGTTCGGCGAGACAAGTGAGTAAACATAAGTGCTCGTTACATAATCAAAAAAATAAATAGACGTATATGAGAGGATAAAATATAATTTACAATATTAATGGTATACTTTTTTTCATGCAGAATGAGTGGGAAGAAGCAGCTCACAACAGAACTCAATGAAGAAGAATTGTAAACTCAGTTAACAGCTAACAGCGACAACCAAAAAGTAAAGAGGCAAAAAAGCAATGAGATTTTTGAATGTCCGGAGTGCGGTAGGCAGATAACATCACGTATCGGGCTTTTCAGTCACAGAAAAGCTCATGAAAGAAAACGCCTTGCGTGACCATCTTCTGATGCGTGTCCACTACTCATCAGCGAGTAATGGCAGTATGTATGTATACATTTTTTTAATCAACTAGTGACTATATGCTTTATTAATGTTATATCTAAAATTTTATAATTACGTGTACCTTTAAAACATTTCGTTATAGCCTAAATAGCCCCAATTATGACCCCACTAGCAAAACCGGTGCGTAAAACTATGCTCGCTACCGTAGTTGAACCCATTTAAAAAGTTTTGTTTAGCAGGAAAATTATAATACAAGTTATATCAAAATATTTTTTCATTTTTATTTTTAGAATTTTCACAAATAATTATACTTCCTAACACTTTTAGAATAATTATATAATAAATTTTTCGTATACCGCGATTTAAACCCGTGTATTTGTATACACTAGTTGTTTACGATATTCTCCGATAGTGGCAGCACCGGCGCGGCGGATAATATATGCGGATAATGCACCAAGCCTATTATACATTAATACATTATATCTACGAATGTCAACAAGAACTATGTGTTAAAATATTAGCATATACAGTACGTCTGTCCGTTCTGTAGCTACGGGGTATCCGTGAGAGGGGAAACGATATTCTCTCGATGTTTTTCGTAAAAAATTAGACGACGTGTTCCATCAATAAAAATTCGACACATTTGCAAGTAGTCAATAAGATGAGTGGGCGGAGCGATTTGCGGCGACGTACTCGACAAGTCGACGTATAAAATATATTGTTGTTTATTTAAATGTTTTTTGTCCGCATTCCTTTCATAGACACAGATCCAGCAGACGAACTGTATACAGGGTGAGTCTTAATAAGTATTAATAATGTAAATATTAATTTATTTTACTTTGTTTTTTCCACAAAATTATTACTCTTGGAAGACCCCCATATTTGTTCAGAAAAATATCATTTCGTACCGATGTGCATAATATTAATATTAGATACAAAGTATTAATTAGTCCCCCTCAGCACAGAACGGCTATGTATGAGCGCAGCTTTAAGTTTACTATTTATAAATTATATAATCCTCTGTCACCTCGTTTCAGAAGTTCTTTTAAGAAAGCTATTACAAAGGAATTTCTGAATCAATGACATCCCTCCTTGTCTCTACGAATTACGAATTCTTATTGTCTTGAAAATAGTTCTTTTTACTTATTACTTTAAAATAAAAATGGTATAATATGTATGTTTCTGTTGTTTTGGTTGGCCCCCAATGTAACCATAATATAAGCATAAATTAGGTCGATTTTTTTTTGTGTGTTAATATAAAATCTAGTGTTTAAGAATTTATTTATATATATTTTTTGATCATTTGTTAAGGGTTCAGTGGTAGAGCACCGTATGGTGAACTTCCCCTTGAGGTTTCTAAGATTGTTAGTAGGAATGAGCGTGTTTTTTTTTACACTTTTTTATTGATTTGTATTATTTTTATATATATCTTGTTTATAAATATTTTCTATTGTAATCTCTGACAATCTGTGAAATAAAGGCATTATTTTTTTTTTTTTTTTGTCACGTTACACGGTAAGTAAATCTATTGTCGGCCCCAAGGGGCAAGACAATAGTTTTTAGCTATCTTCTCAAGTTTAATAATTTTCTCATTATGTTGCATGTTGCGAGAATAACTGACTTCTGAAGTTGTATGTAAAGATTTTGGTTAAGTTCCAGTTTTTTCAGATTGTGAAGGAGCTGCTTGGGGATTTCTCCAGTTGATCCAATCACTTAGGCACCACTGACACCCTATCCACTCCCCAGACCTCTTTCATATCCTGTGCTAGTAAGGTATATTTGTCGATCTTTTCTTGATGTTTTCGGTTGACATTTGTAGGGGCAGGGACAGCGATATCAATAAGATAGATTTCTTTTTTGAGTTTGTCCAGCAGACATATGTCTGGTCTGTTATGTTGCACAGTCCGATCTGTTAATATTTCTCTATCCCAATATAATTTACAAGCATCATTCTCTAGGACGTTCATTGGGACATAATTATAATATGGAATGCGCTCGTTAATGCATTTATATTTCAAACTAAGTTCTGTATGTATTATTTTTGCTACGTTGTTATGTCTGTCGGTATACTCTCTTGAAGCTAGTGTTGTACAACTACTAATAATGTGTTCTATATTCTCGTTTCCTTCTCCGCACATTCGGCATACAGTTGTTTTAATTGTGGGGTCCTTTATTATATATTTTAGGTATGATCTTGTGGCTATTACTTGGTCTTGAATTGCGCACATAAATCCCTCTGTCTGGTGGGAAAATCGTTCCGTGTGTCAGCCATGCTACTGAAGCTGGCTTATGAATGCTGTCCAGATCAAGTGTGTTGAGGTATCGGCCATGTAGCTCTTTTCCTTGCCACTTGCTTTTTTGCAGAGCTATTGTGTAACCAGCATCTATATTCATTTCTTTATCATTAAGATTCAGAGGCGTCAATTTTTTATCTGTTTTGCTTATGGTATCATAGAGGCTTGATGTTGATGCTATCGTGTGGAAATACGTTCGTAGGTTTTTAGTTTGTTTTTTATGTTGTAGTCGCAGATCCATGACGCCTCGCCCCCCTATTTCTCTTGGAAGATGGAAACGTTCTTTACATGCTTTTGGATGATGGGATCGATATTTTGTATACGTGGTTTTAACAGACCTGTTTAGTTCGTCCAGTTCTGTAGGGGTCCATTTAATGATTCCAAAGCTATATGTTATCGTTGGCATTACAAATGTATTTGTAGCTTGGACTTTATTGCTTCCGCAGAGCTGGGTCTTCATGACAGCATTTAATCTGGTCTTGAACGTGTTCTTTATTTGATTTTTCATTTCACTGCCACTGTGACTGTATAAACCCTAGATATTTGTATGTTTCATGTTTATCCATAGATCTCACAGTTCCTCCTCCTGATTCTTCTAGAAGGATGAAATCATCTGACTGACACCATTTTCCTCTTTTCATATGGTTTGTTTTACATTTTTCTAGGCCAAAGTTCATTCTTATATCATTGGAAAATTCTTCAGTTGTTTTTATAAGTTTATTTAGACCATTTTGTGTGTTGGATATCAGTGTTGGAAATCGCACATTGATATTTTAAATTCACAATAAAAAAACTTAAAAGTATTATCTCTAAAATCCTAACTTGGATATTATTTATTTGAATCTTCCGGTTGGCTCCATTTTTCTTACTCACTGTTAATTAGGGCGCATCAGTATTTTTTGCGATGAATATAATCAGATTAAACAATTGAAAAAAAACAGAGTCGGACTTGAAATAGTTTTGTTGTTAAGGTACCCAAACCAAAAAAAATATAAAGTGTATATTAATAATATACTATTTATATTAGTAATACATATCATTGTACTCAGGAGACCAAGTTTTTTCAAAATCTGAAATAAAAAATGCAGGTCCGTATTTAAAAAAATTAAGTTGGCCTCTGTATCTCACAAATTATTAGCTAATTTGAAAATCTAAAAATACTTTCAGATAACCCTAATAAAGTGGCTATGAGATTGTGCAATTAGTTTTTTTTATTTTCTAAAAAGTAACGACAGGAAAAAATAAAATTGAATTTCAAAAAAATCCGTTTTTTCGAGAAAACTCAGCAATCCTTGAAATTTTTAAAACTTTTTTTATTGCATCTTGGTGAACATCCGAAAGCGCAAACTGTTAACTATGTTCGTATCTATTACGGTTACCGAGATACCAATGCTCGAACTACCTCGAATTTGTAGCACCCTGTATAAGTGGGTAATTTGATATTCCTGAAAGCTTCTTATGTTTATGATACCACCATAAATTTACAGATTGCTCGGAACATTTTTATATCTTTTGTAATCGATAACGTTAATGCTTATTGAAGTCTAAATATAAATGTCTCTGTTTACTGTCTTTAAAGGTGGGAAAATATCTGTTAAAACGGCCTGTTTAAATATTATTTAAATCAGAATGAAACAGATCAACCCCTAGCATTAGCATAACTAGCAATTCATCCTGGGGGGGGGGGGGCTTAAGACTTTTTTAAATGTAGAGTAA